GCTGATTATTGTCATTATTATTATTATTATTGTTACGCATCGATTCCCGTCGCGTTTGTTACCTTTTTCTTGTTTAGTTCAATGTCTTTCCATTTCTATTGTTTTTCCGCTGTCTGTACTATTTGTTTATTTGTTGCAAAATGGTAACAACTTGAACTTATGTGCATTTGTGCAAGACTCAATATTGTTGGGTACATAAAATATAACATCACAATATATAGTCGCCTATTTATCTATGTGTCCTCATAGGCAAGTTTCAGTTAACACTGAAGTTAATTTTATGAGGTCAAATATTAATCTGACAATCATTTGTATCATAGTTTCTTATTCAACTTCTTCGAATCTGCCAAGTAGCGCTTAATATTACATATATTCTACTTGAAGTCTGTTAAATGATGTTCTGTCATTCACAGACGCTCATCCTTCATATCAGTTTGTGTCCAACCATTGCTAGGAGAAGTTGAAAGAAGACCGAAGGTGGGCAGACAAAGTTTTGGCACCAGTCCATGAAGTCTTAGACTGTTGGTCTGAACCATGTTTGGGGGGGTGTAGACTGTCTGGTTGTAGTCCTGAGATGATAGGGATCAATATTTGAGGACTGTTGGTGACATATCTAAAAGTTGGTCACAATGGCGTAGATGTGTTCATCATTTAATGTCTTCTGAAGCTTGAATATTTCCACTCACCTTTATCTTCAAATTGTTTCTCTTCTCATGCACTTTCATCTACTTTGATATTCAACCATTTGTATCCATTCATTCTTTGAATACTGTTGTCAAGTGTGACAAGTTGAACCGGTACATTTTTGTGTGAGGTTCTACTTTCATTTTGTCTATCTGTCTGTCTGCAATCATTGAGTGTGTGTTTGTTTGTATGGATGGGGTTTGAAGTTGACGCTTTACTTTTACTGAAACAGTCGAACAATAAACAAGACACAAATATTCAAAGGATTGCAATTATTGCTTGTGTTATCCTATTCGAAGCGATCGCTCCAGAGTTCGATTCCTGCTAAGGACACCATCACTCACTAGCAGGCAGGTACACCTAACTGAAGGGTCCTGAGTAGGGCGAAACGCTCTTCAACCTGGATCCTACTGCTAGCTGTTATCCATCATTGCAATTGTGTTGAAGGCATCAAATTGATTCCGAAGTGAAGAAAGGAATTATTATCATTTAGCTATCTGAGATAGCCGTAGTTTGGGAGACTACTGTTTATACGAACTAGGGGATGACTGAAGGTGAAATGAAAGTCTGGACGGCGGTCGGATTCGAACCAGCAACCACTAGGTTTCCGCCGGCAGACTCTAGGGGATATGGCTCAGAACCGATGTCAGTGGCGCAGATGTATACACATATTGTCATCTTAACACTGTGCCGATTCTCACCATTTTGTCATTCTTCCTTTCTTTCTTCTCGTAGTTCATATTTCTTTTGACTGAATTTTTTTTTTTCATCTTTCACCTCTACGTTTCTACTTGATGTGGTGATATGATGTGTGGCAACTCGGACGGTTACGCAGTAATGCCTGGTCCTATGTTGATATTGATGATGATGAGGTTTCCGGCCCAATGCTCTACCAATTGAGCTACGAGGTCCACATTTCCATTTTACCTTTAATCATCTCTCAGTCTGCTAAACTACGGCTTTCGTAGATTGTCAAGTGATAATCAATATGATACTTCTTCTCGCTAATTCAGTGATATTTCGATTGGGATAAGATGTCCTGACTGGACAGCCACTGTGAATATGATCACCCCGTAGTAACGTGTCAAAAATTCATATAGTGGTTCGGGCAAAACTTTGGTGATTGAAGTGAAATAAAAATCTGGTTAGCAGTCGTACCTCATAGCTCAGTTGGTGTAGTATCAGTCTGGAAACCCGGTGGTCGCTAGTTCGAATCCGGCTGCGGTCGAAATCTTCATTTCACCTACAATCATCATCCAGTATGCTGAAATTATTATTGATTTGACAGTTTTGTATACTCTCGTGTAAATAATTTGATAAGTCCATGTGTGATCTCATTGTTCGAAGAAGGAAATGTTATGAGAACACTAGTTTTTAACACTTTGCATTTATAGTATGTTTTCTCATATTTTGCTTTTAAGAATTTGCATGTGAGATGGATACTTTAAGATTGAAGTTTTTTGTTGTTATTGAAATGTTGACGTTTATACTCATCTTATAGGAATTCATCGTCTCAATCATTAAACTTTATTTAAGCCTTTGCAGATCATTATTTCAGCCCAGTTGTCTATTAACACTGAGAGTCTCTTGATTTTTAGATATCTACTCAGAAAATCTTGGTAGGGGGAGTAGTGGTTAAGGAGATGGAATAAAGTGACCAGATGTCCAAGAAAAAGTGGAAATCCTCACTAGAGAAAAACTTCATATGTGGTGACTCTCAAATAAGTAGCAATAAACACAGTGGTATATACCCCATCACTTATCGAATGGTATACTCCATTTTTTTTCTCCATCCCACCTAGATATTTATAACATTGATTTTAAATGGTTGATTTCGGTGTTTGTTATTTGACGATGCAGTGCAGACTAAGCGAATTCTGAGGCAATTAAAAAAGCACCATTTTCACAGCTGGGCCTATGTTCAGGTGTCCGGGGAGGTGTGCTAGTCGAGTGGTATCCGTCAAGGATGCCCAGTTTCCGTTCTTACTCTACTTAATCATAGATATTCTTATGGAGGTTTCCCTCTCGTCACCTGACAGAGGTTGACCTAATCGCGGGAGAATTTCCGTCCGACCTAGAATATGCAGATGACATAGTCCTGTTAGGTGAAAAGGCTGACAAGATGCAGAGTCTTCTGAACACTTTGAGTGGGAATTTGAGAATGTTTGGGATGAGGTTCTAACCACTCAAATGCATATTCCTGCTCGAGGATTGGTCTTCAGCGGTGCCACGGCTAACAATAGAGTGTGAAGTGGTGGAATGTGTTGACCACTTCACCTGCCTGGGAAGTAGGATCAGCCCTGGTGGGTGGCTCAGTGGCCGATGAAATCTCTGCACGGGATACAAAAGGCTCGGTTGGCTTTTCCCAACTTACGTCACCTGTGGCACCACCGTGATATCTGATTGTCTATTAAGTTTCGCATGTACTGCACAACAGTCCTCTCTGTTCTACTGTATGGCTGTGAAACATGGCCATTGAAGATGGAAGACATGAGAAGGCTGGCTTCAGTTGTTTGACCACCATTGCCTTCGTAATATAGGCCGTATTCCGTGGTGTCACCACATGAGTAATGCAGAAGTGAGGTGTAGAGTTTTAGGGAGAAGAGGTAAATCAGTTGACAAGGTTATGAACCTTTATCGATTGAGATGGTTGGGACACGTGTTACGCATGTCTTGTCGCCTTCTGCCTCGTCACATAATGTTGTTGTGACGTTGACGCTTTATACGTCAACAACATTCGCATTTTGACCACTAATGCAGTCAAGTCAGTCAGTGCTTCTAAGTGATGATTCAGAGACAGCGCGTTACCCAAGGCATTTCCAACAAACTACAGACATACATCACATCAACAGCTGCCGCCTACGCTCACTTGATACTGAAGATGTAAATCAGATGACCAGAATAATAAGAATAAGCAACAAGCAACTCTGGCAAGCTGGCTGGCAGCAAACCAACGAAGCAAGAACTCATTGCCCAACAAATATGCAGAAGAAGAAACTGGAAATAGACTGCATTGGACATAAAGTGAGAAGATGGTTTGGGGACATCACGCATCAGACCAGACCAGATCGTCGAGTGGAAGCTAAATGAGAAACGACGAGTTGAGCGTCTGAGTCGAGAGTGACTTAGAAGAGATGGTGTGAGGAAGAAATGAAAGGTTCTGGGCAGTGGTGGAAACAGGTTGGAAAGACTACAGAGAAGAGAGTGAAATGGTGACGTGCTACTGAAGCCCTATGTTCCACTAGAAACCCAAGGGACAAATGATAATGTGTTAGGGCTTATTGATATATTTTAGACTGAAGTAAGGGGAGTAATGTTTGAAAGTTTTTACTGCCAACGGGGTACAGCTCAACAATCAAAGCTTCTAGTCTTCTTATATCTTTTGTTTTTTTTTAAGTGACCATGTCTTGTAGCTGTAGCTCGTTTTCTTAACTTGACATCCAGTAAATATGTAATTATTTTTATGGTACCAATACCTCCAAAGAACAGGTATTATTATTATTATTATTAGTCCCTTGGGTTCCTAATGGAACATACGCCTTCAGTAGCACGTCTTTAGTGAACTCTGTTCTCCGAAATCTTTTGAACCTGGGTCCACGAAAACCCACAAGCTCTCATTTCCTCCTCACACGATCTTCTCCATGTCAACCTTGGTTGGGACGCCCAACTCGTCGCGTGATGTCCCCAGTCGGACTTCTCAGTGTATGCCTAATCCATCTACACTTCCTTCTACTGCATATTTGTTGAGCGATAGGTTGTTGGTTGGTTCGTTCCCGGAGCTCCTTGTTGCTTATTCTTTCTGGCAATCCATCTGATCTTCAGTATCGAGCCAGCGTAGGTGGCAGTTGTTGATGAATGTCTGTAGTTTATTGGAAATGACTTTCGTAACGTGCCTTGTTTCTGAACCATCAAGCAGAAGCACTGACTTGACATTGGTGTTGAAAATCCCGATGTTGTGTCACATGCTGAGTGCAGAAGATCTCCACACTGGTTTCAGGCTAGTGAACGCCTGTCTTGCTTTTCCGATCCTGGCTGGCTTTGACGTCCCCGTCTGTGCCTGTGCCGCCTGTAGTTGAAACAGTGCCTCCTAGGAGGGTGGGTGAAGGAGGCTACTTCCTTTAGTTTCTCCCGTTGATGGTGACTGGAGTTTGTTGTTGTTGGTTCAAAAGAACAGGTAGTTAGTTGTAATTGTCTGATTAGTATTTCATTGATACTTGTAGACGAGTTTGCTATTCAGTCATCATTTATTCATAGCATTACACATACACTTAACAACACACTTTTTTAAATCCTATTCATACATTTCATTTCTATAGTTAGTTGGATTATGCGATGAAGAACTGCGGTTAGTTCAACGATGGACTGGTTCACATGTTGCAGAACTGATGAGTTGTTCAATAGAAACTGGTGGTAGCCTACTTGTAACTGATATGAAAAGAAATTTAAATCTTTTTGAATTACAACCAAATTTAATTGATTATATAAATGAGAAATTAAGACGTGAAGGTTCAAATTTATCCGGTGTTACAACATCCTATTTTACTTGGTCATCAATTACTATGATAGGATTAGGTGAATTATTACCAGGTGAATTAGAATCTCGTCGATTACGTCGTCAAACTCAAAAACGTGATTCATCATCAACTAGCTGTTTATATTCATCTAAAACTAGTGGACAGTGTATATCTAAATCTGTTTTATTTCATAATTCAACTGATTATAATACTCATAAATCAGATACTGAAATTGGATCAAAAACTGTAGCTATGGATACAGATGATACATTAGTTTCATTTTCAGTGAAAAAACGAATAGAAGATGATGAATTTATAGATATTGTTGGTAGTGGTGGAGGAGGAGTTGTTGTTGTTGGTGGTGGTGGTGGTGGCGGCGAAATATCTCAAAAGTTAACAAATGAAAATTATACTAATTCTCCAGCTACTGCTATCTTAACTTCAATGTCTTCTGAACCGAATTCATTGAAGATTTCACGTTTTGGATCAAAATCACGTATATCTATGAGTAATAGATTAGGTTCTGGACATATAACTTCAGATTGTTTTGTAAACTCTTTTGGAAATCGAAATGTAATGGATGGACAAACTATCAGTGCACCTGGTGGTTTTTCTGCTTGGTGTGGTCGAGTAGGATCGATTAACTTCTTCAATCAATCACCAGTTGGTAAGTGTGATTGATTTTTTACTTTCTTTTAATTACTATTGCGGCTAACAGAAGTTGGAAATATGGACCATTGGATTCTGACTCAGTGGTTCAACGATAACTTGCTGGCCACGGAAGCTGAAGATCGCGGGTGCGCACTGCTGATGAGTCCCGTACTAGGGCGAAACAGCTGTCCAGTGCTCCCAAGTCTCCTTCGTCCCTCCAGCTGATGTTAGTCCACAGTGAACAACAACTTAAACATTTACTTACCTGTCAAAATAAAATACTTTGTAAAAACAAACAACATTTATAAACTGGAAAAGAAACGTATCGAATAGATCGATTTCTGTTGGTGTTTTGTTCTGCACTATATATATATATATATATATATATATATATATATATATATATATATATATATATATAATGCCCCGACGGGATACGATTAACGATAGAACAATGACTTGTCAACAGAATATGCAGTTGACACCAGAAGAAGAAGTTAATGAGAATGAACGTATACTTACTTCAATCAAATAATGAGATTATATAGCTGAAAGTTCAATCGTTTATGCAATTTTTAAAGCCTAACATAATAGCCTATTAAAAGGTAAAATGAACCAATCAGCGTTTAGTATCTCAAGGACAGGGAAAATAAGTAGTATTGCATGGAGCGAAAAAGGCGCGAAAATAAGATTTGAATTTCACAATGAAAATATATACATAATTTGGATTTTTTATTACTATCATTATTATTTGTTTGTTTATTATTATTTGAATATTCATAATGTTTTAATTTACTGGGATTCTACTGATAGCCACCACCAGGTAAATCGTAACAATGAATATTCAGGCAACATCGAAGCATTCGCATACCAACAGAAGTCGGTCAATGCAATACAGGATAACAACCGGAAATTACTAGTAACAATAAATAATAATTAGTACCTGTTGCTCAAGAGATGGTTCTCGTCCTTCAGTTGCCTAGATGGTGGATGCTCAACTCGAGTCCCAGTAGGAACACCGTCACTTACTATCATGCTGGTTCAACCAACTGATGAGTCCTAAACAGGACGAAACATGAGTCCTGTATCCGCTGCCGGCCATCAATAAGTAAATTATAACAGGAAACATGGACTTAGTTACATACAAAAATGACAGTGTACCTATCTAATCACGAATTATTCTTATATTGATTAGCCTATGAAAAAGGGCCAGTCTATTTGAACTTTATAGGGAAACGATATACTTTAGGCATTCAAAAGAGGATTACATGACTTGTGGATTTATTTGGGATCAGGTATTTTGTTTACTCATAAGTAGTATACAACTAACGTTAATTACTCTCGTGTTAAGTTCAAGCTTTTGGTTGCTCAGACTTGCCTTATCACGAGATGAATGGTCGCATCACTATGCGAGCAGTTACATGTATCATATCAACAGTCTTCAAATTCTACATACCGGGCAAAATTAACAATTCAATAATAGTAAACGTTGCTGTGATGTTGCTTGTTGCACATGAAGTGGCTATTGTGGCTGAGTGTGACGTAATGGATAACGCTCTAGTGTTTGAAGCGATCGGTTCAGGATTCAAATCTTAGTGGGGACAACATTGCTCACTGAGAGACAGGCATATCCAGCTGACAAGTCCCAAGCCAGACGAAATGCACGTCTTGGGTTTCACTGCCAACCACTATCCGGCACTTCGATTGGAAGTGGAGTTCACTACTCGGGTTTTTGAATTGATTCTATTGTGGAACCATGCCGTAACTTAACTATTGATGCTGACTTTCTAATGAATACCAGTTGAAAATGCAATGAAACATACATATTATAAACGCTAGTGATACCATGAGGCTGCCAAAACCTCAGTTGGTGGAGCGGTGTTCGAACCCATGACCCATTGGCTGAAGTTTGTTGTTGTTGTTGTTGTTGGTTGGATATCTTCATCACCTCTGTCTTCTCTACGTTCACTTGAAGGAAGTGCCGCCTTCCTTTGCTGTCCTGCCTCTTTTGTTAACTTGGTGGTTTTTGACTGTAGATCTTCGAGTTTGTGCGACATCATATATAAATCATCATTGGCGAAATCCAAGTGTTCTAGGGTCTTTTCATCAGTCCAGCTAGCGTATGTCCATCTTCTCACAGCTCCTCACAGTTTGTTACATGATCCAATCCAGTTCAGTCCAGTTGACCACAATCAAGAAGATGATCGGTGATAGTAGGTGGGAAACCTTGTCTTACTCCTGTCCCTTGTCTTCACTTCAAAGGTATCACTGAGCTTTCTACTGTTAATCACTCGGCAAGTGGCGTCGTCATGTATGTGTTGACTGCTCAAGTAATTTAAGTATTGAATCATCAACCATTTAATGTAACTTTGAACTCATGCTTTTTAGTAGTGCTTAGACCACTAAAGTACAACAACGTTTCATGGAAGTAAAAGAGAAAATCTAATCAGATCTGAAGACATAAAAAGTCGATCGAATAAGTGTTTGCTTATCTGAGTATATATATATATATCATGGGTCCGAACCCCACTCCATCTACCTAAGTTTGAGTAGCTAGATAATATCATCAGTAATCCCAGCACGACATACTTCAAGAATGTGTTCAAAGTTGTTGAATGCATTTCTTTCAATGGATAAAATATCGCAACAGTTTAGACCTAAGAAATATATTCATGAAAGTTAGAAGCCTAATGATTTTGTTATTGTATCTTAGATCGTATAAAATTTTGTTATATTTTCTGGTTTTAATTGTAAACTCTCCACTTTATTATATCCTTTATATAGGTCGTCAAGGAATGAATAAAACTAATGGAAATAGTTCATCTATTGGAGGAGTATTTAAAAGTGTTGTAGTTAATTCACCTACAGAGCTCACTAATTCAGTTGGTGGTGCACTTGGTTTTAAAACATTTAATTCAGAACCACCATGTCAAAATATTACAGATAAATTGATTGATATAACTGAACCTAAAGGTAGTCGTACACCTGGTAGTAGTAGTACGGGTGATGGTTCAGCACCATGTACTCCTTTAGCACACTTATCATTATCTCCAGCAAGTTTAGATATGATGCCAACACGAATTATTGACTACTTAGATGTACATTTATGTCGTGAAGCTGGTGAAATGCTTCCATTAGCTGTTAATGATCGATTACGTCATGGTAGACATTTCACTTTTTTAAATGCAAATTATCCTGATCATGCTATTACATTAGTTCCTTCTGGTGTATCTGGAGCTTTTGTCAATGAGGAGACACCTTATGTTGCTCGTGGACCTTGGCTACAAGTAAGAATTCAATTTTAATCATGTAATGTTGATTTCAAATCCTTAGGTGCATATTTTTATTTAAAAAAAAAACTCATCGTGTTATCATTTTTCCTATTAAACCCGTTTTCTTCGCTTTATTTGTACAATACATTAACGAATTAAGCACTATATGTGGTGCCGCTGTGATATCCGATTGTCTTTTAAGGGTTGCGTATGTTGCACAACAGTCCGCTCTGTTCTCCTGTGTGGCTGTGAAACATGGCTATTGAAGGTGGAAGACATGAGAAAGCTGGCTTCAGGTGTTTGACCACCATTATCTTCGTAGTATAGACCGTATTCCGTGGTGTCACCACATGAGTAATGCAGAAGTCAGGTGTAGAGTTTTAGGGAGAAGAGAAGAGGTAAGTCAGTTGACATGGTTGTGAACCTTCATCGAATGAGATGATGGCTGGCTCACACATGTGTTACGTATGCCCAGTCACCATCTGCCTCGTCACACAATGTTGGCCGAAGTAGGTTCAGGTTGGAAAAAGGCTCGAAGTGGCCAGACTAAAACATGGCACCAATGTATGAAATTTTTGACTATTGGCTCCAGCCAGGTGGGGCGATGTAGACTAGGTGGTTGGGGTTGGCGGGAAAAGAGAAACCAGTGATTGGAGACTGACTCTAGGTGATATATCGCAGAGTTGATGTCAGTGGCGTGGACGTACACACACATAATCCTCATCTTGACGCTGTGCTGAATCTCACCAATTTCTCGTTCTCCCTTTCTCTCTTTCAGTACTTTATACTTCTTTTGACTGAATTTTTTCTTCTTCATCTTCCACTTCACTGCCTTCTTACTTGATGTAGTGATATGATGTGTGGCAACTCGGAGGGTTACTCAGTAATGCCTGGTCCTGTGTTAACTTGGATGGATGGACTACATGTGGAAACTAATTGTTGCACATTATTCCAGTCAAAGTTGTTGATAGATTGTAACGATATCTTCATTAAATGACTCAAGGTTAGTGTTAAGGAGTGAATAGGACTGGGCCATTGTGATCGATTTTCGGCCATGTCACCAACAGTCCTCAACCATAGATTCCTTTAGTCTTGGGGACCCCAACCAAGCAATCTACATATCCCGAACACGGCTTTCAGGGACTTCATGCACTGGTGCCAAGTTTCGGTCTGGTCACCGTAAACCTTTTTCCATCCTAATTCAACTTCCTTTAACATGGCGCGTCGAGACAGTCAGTGGCTCATCATTCACATTATATGTCTAAGACATCTCAGTCGACGTAGATTCACAACCTCATCAATTGACTTTTTTGTCTTGCCTAGTACACGGTAATTCCACCACATGTGACAAATGCTACGAAGACGCCTATGGTCAAAACCCTGTAGTCCCTTCATATCTTCTTCTATTAACGACCATGTGTCAGCCTGATAACAGGACAGAACGAACTGTATCACAGTATGCTCGTCGTTTGATAAGTAGTGGAATATCTCACCGGCCGAACCTCGGATGATGCAAGTTCACAAATGCCAAATACGCCTACTGTAACCGAACTGAGATCTTGTCAGCAACCTACACGTTCGTGCTGATGGTGTTATACGACTGTGAGACATGACTGTTGAAAGTGGAAGACATAAAGTGATTAAAGAGTCTTGGTCATGAATGTCTTCGTAGCACTGCTCGTGTTTGTTGGAATCACCGTATGAGAAATGTTAGAGTCATTTGAAAGGTGCTAAGCAAGATAAGCAAGTCGGTCAATTATGTTATGAACCTTCATTGACTGAGATGACTTGGATGTGTACTGTACATGCTGAGACACCACCTACCCTGATGTGGCATGCTGGTGGGGGGAGGTGGATTAGTATGGAGGAGGATTCAAGGTGTCCAGATGAAAGCTTGGCACGAATCGATCAAGTCTCTTACTATTCGTTTTAGTCGCACTTGGAGATATAGAGTGTCTGGATCAAGTTTCTCAAGACAGCAGGAATCAGTAGTTGAGGACTGTTGGTGACGCGGCTGAAGATCGATATATTCACTCTTGGATATCTTATAAAGGTGGGATATTTTGACGAAACTTTATTTTTAAAATCCCTCTCCTCCTATACTTATTTGTCTACTTGGATATCACCCTTTCTTATCCATTTGTTTTTTTGTATGCTACTGCTAAGTTGCGGTAAGCTGAATTAACTACCAAGCGTTGTAAAATGATTACACCATTGGGTTGATTACTCACTAAAACATTTAAATCTCTCATTTACTACTTTAGTTGTTCCCTCTGTAACAATAAAAACCCAAGTGTTGTCATGCTTCAAGCTCCGTTCATATTCAATAGTAACTTTCAGTTTGGTCACACTGTTTTCCTGTCTGGACGGGAGTAGGTGGTGCATGGTTGAAACTCGTGTTCCACTGTTCGAAAGCCTAAAGCAACTAGCCTCAACTTCAAAGTGATCAGTAGGTCTGTGTGTCAATCCGGATGCTTACAAAACAATTGATTCGGGTAACTGTCAGCTGGAATTTAGTCGGGCAGTGGACTTTCTACCTTAAGAATCCATGCTATAGCTATAGCTAAAGATGATTAAGGAATGCGGACTGAGAGACGTGAGGAAATTTTAAAACGCAAAGTTGTTGAAGGTTGAGGGAACTTGAGTAGTTACAGTTGTGAGGAAAGTTGACACATCCCACTTACTTCTTCTTGAAGTACCTGGAAAAGAAGTTGAATTGGTCGTAGTGGTCTTGGACGATAGGACCCAAGAAACATCATACATAGTCTGTTTGGATGTTCCAGGTTTACTTTGATTTGTTTGCAATCCAACTTGGAAGATCATACCACTTGTACTGAAATACTGTTGGGCAGAGGGGAGTGTTGTTTTAAGATCCTCTGTTTCTACATCTCAGTTTTCCTGGGGAATACAGCATCAACAGTTTACTAATGATGATGTGTAGCAAACACCTTAGTATTATTACTTCCCCTCTCCTTTCAGCCAGCAGTACGAATTCTCTCTTAGACCCCTGTCATAGGTTAGTAATTTGCACTATCACGGCAACTGTTTTTTCTCCTATCATTATCTGGATGATATTTTTAATGTGTTAGAACCTCAAGCTACCGAGTTCTTGATCAGGATAGCTGTTTAGGTCATTATGGATGTACAAACCTGACTACTACGTCAATGTAGCATATGTTGGTGGAGATGACATTACTCCATAGAGTTATAGGCACCGAAATCTGACTACTCTATGAAACTGTTGTTGTTTTCTGTCATAAAACAAGCTGCTTAATGTATATTGTTTCAGTGAAACTTGATTACTTGAGTAATCAGTTATCAACTACAAATTTCATTAAACGTTTACAAACACCCATGAGATAAAATGATTTCATAATACCTAGAATTGGAGGTGACGACTGTCTAAATTCTTGATTCATTAAAAAAAAAAAGGTAGAAAAATTCCTGAGACAAAGATTGATCAGTTTCAAAAGTAATTGGCTATAGAAGAAGAGGCCACCCTAACAACAATAACCAAATTAGCTGTTATATATCTGTGATATATACCACCCGTATTTATCATATTGCACAAGTAGTAGTAATGTTACTGAATAATCAGTTTATTATCACATCTTGGTTAGAAAGTTGAATAATATTGAAGGATAAATGATATTGATTGTATTATATTCTCTGAGCTAGATGGTTTAATCGTTCAGCTTTCATCGTCTTTCTACACAACTTCATCATTACTAACTTCAGTATGAAGTAAGCTGTCAGTATCTTTCCATGAGTGATTGGATTACTTTACCCTGACAAATTGGTTTTTGTGATTCATTGTTTCCTTTGATTGTTATATCATTGATTGACTACTGTATAGATTTTCTTATTGGCTGTTCTCCTCCTTGACCTCTGTCGTTTATCATCTTTTCTCATTAGTTGATAGAATGGATCTATGTCTATACATCTGTTGATTGTTGACTGACTTGAATGTCAAGCTTCATATACATGGTTGTTATCCATGTGCATAGGTGGTTATTTGCAGTCAGTTGTGTTTACGTTTTTAGCTCCCTTCACCTTCCTCATTGTATAGTGATATCTCAGAGTTTACAGATATTTGATCGTGAAATGAGTTAATGGTATTCACTACTTGAGGGAGACTATGAGCTAGTTCTTATTATTCACTCTTTATATGTATGCCTTCCAGTTGCCTTCAATAAATAGTTGTCATTATCTTATAAATTCTTATGTTTTCACCTTTTTTTTCTTTAAAAAAAAATTATTTCCAGATTTTACTGACAGATGACTTCTTGGAACAATTGGAGTTTCAGTTCTCTTGTTTACTGTATCCTGATGAATTACGCTTACCATTGGTGTTTCGTTGGCCTGAAAGACATTTACGTATATGTCTAGTTGATGTCAATTCAACAGTATCATTGCCATCAGCAGCAACTGCTGGTGGAATTATGCCGGTGACACCTCTTCTTCCTACATCATCAACTCTACCTTCTAATCTCCCGAATCCTATGTCTTTAATGAGTGGTGGTAATGCCAGTAACAACGCTCGTACTCCAAACACACCTAACCTATCAAAGCCTGGTTTTGGTATCAATTGCAATTGGAATATATCAATGCTAGATAATAAATTAATGTCTGGTAACAATGGCAACAATACTACTGCTGGTGGTAGTAATAGTAGTACTGTACACTCTTCACTTACACAAAATGCATTTACAAAATCTGATTTATTCGCTTCATTGTTATCATTATTCCCACCGGGATGTATACCACCACCAAATGTCCTATCATCTTTATTCAATGTCTCAGCTGTATTGAATTCAAACAACAATGGCAGTATCGGAGGTAGAGTCGATGGTACTAGTACTAGTCATAATGAACCATGTCAAACAGAATTATTAAGAAAGTCATTTTTCCAAACTAATCAAGTTGTACCGCCAACTCCATTGCAAGCACCGCCAACAGCCTTACCAGTTCCATCACAATTGCAACAGCAACATTCATCCTGTTCAACTGAAATGAAACTTGATAATGTGATGGATCCAAATGTCTTTGCCAACAACTGGTCAATGTTTTTACAAGGACTGAATAATAATAATAATAATAATAATAATAATAATAATAATAATGTCAATCCCGATTTATTAAGACAAACAATCACCGATGGTCATCATAGTAATACTGCCAATCCAACTGCTTATTTCATGGAGATAATGCAGACTCTCCTTCACAGTAGTAGTAGTAGTAGTAATAATAATAACAGTCATAACAATGCTACTTGTATGAATTCATTATCCACTATGACCTCCTCGTCAACAGCAGCAGGATCATCATCAGCTAGGCATTTCTAATCACATTTCACCTATTCTCTCAACATGTTCATATTGAATCCTTTTTATTCTCTTCATATTTGTGGTCAAGCCAATAACACGTGTGTGTGTGTGTATGTGTGCAGTAGTTGGATAAAGAAGCAGCAACGTAGTTGATGAAAGCTGTCATATATTGTTTACCTTCATCATTTCAATCATATCGTCGCAACATATTCTCGTTTATATCATGATTATTGTTAAATTGTTTATTTATTTATTATTTTCAGTATAATTATCACCATGGTGAATAGGAACAATGTATATTTATCATATGTTTAACTTAGTTTCGGAAAACGAAATAGTCTTTGATATTTCAATTAGCTTTCTCTTCGATGTAAGTCAAGATAATGAGAACAATGAAAAGCGCCAAAATCATATTGATTTCCCTTGTATCAGATAACTGGTTTGTGTGTGTGTGTGTGTGTGTGTGTGTGTGTGTGTGTGTTAGTCTTCTGTTCACAGGAGATTCTGTCAAGCAAAGAAAAGCGCCATCCCCCCCCACACACACGTGATTTATTTTTGCATGTTCTTTAGTGTTATCATTACCAAGAAGATATGTTGGAAATGCATACAATTCAACTTGTAAACGACTTTCCTAGCCTATATACCGAAAACCTACCTGATTGATCATTTCAACAGTTACTAGGGTGACCTTTAAAGTTACACATGATCATCCCCGTTGAATTCTACTCATGCATGGATGCATTTTTCTGGCTTTTGTTTTAATTTCTTTGTCATCTGATTTCTATAAATGATTTGTGTGTCTACCTTTTTTTTTTGAGGGGGGAGTAGCTATGTTATACCTTTCTTTATGTGTTCGTATCTTGGTTCTTACTGTGGACATAGCAAACACATGTGTGTGTGTGTGTGTATTCAAGAGTATTGTCATCAGTGAATCCATTTTCGTTTCCTAAGACTATACATTTTATCTCTAGGCTAATATGTTCCTTCTTCTCTGTGTTTTGATTTCATTCGCTTTTTGTTTTGCCTTACATCATTGATAAACGTTTCTTAATTTTTCTACTCAAAGTATGTTTGATTTATTTGCCTTTTCTTTCTTTTTTAAACGGCACATTTTTCTTTTTCAGTTGTTGTTATCATTTATGTGGTATAGTAGTGAAGGTGTTGTGTCTATTGTTCAGATGATGGTGATGTGGGAACGGTGAGATGTAGTTTTGCTTGTTTGCCTTTTTTTAAAAAAAATAATCTTTTCCATATGGCATTTGATAGACCATTAATTATCATTACAACTAATAATGTTGTATAGGAATTTCATGAATATTCCAGATAAAAATCCATCCTCATATCATAATGTCCACCCGTTTTGTCTTGTGTAATCTATGCCAATATCATACATCGAAAATTCTCTATATGAGTGGATGAGTAAGATTTCAGTCCTATGTAAACTCGATAACGGAGAAAATCAGGTTTCACAAACACAAGTGAAATCTATGTAGTAATGGTGGGTTGTGACAAGCAGTGGGATCCAGGACGCATGTTTCGTCCTTTTTGGGACTGGTGAGCTGGATGTACTGCCTCCCCATGAAACCGAATAATTCGGTCTAATCAGTGACAGAATAATACAAGCGACAACGTTGAAAACTATACCCGTCACACAAGAAGTGGCTATCGTGGCTCGGTAGTGTAGTGAGTAACGTTCTGGCGTTTGAATCGGTCGCTCCCCAGTCCGAATCCCCATGGGAACAACATCATTCACTGGGAAGCAGGTACACCCAGCTGACGAGTTTCAAATCAGATGAAGTGCTCATCCTGGATTCCACTGCTAGCCACTATCCATCATTATTATATATATGATTTAAACAGGCAGTATCGAAGCATCCGCGCAAGAGCCCAAATACCGATCAATTCAGTCCAGGCAACGACGATACAATACAAGCGATAACACTACAAGTGAAATCTGTTTAACAAAGGCAATCAGATAAAAGTGGTTAGCGGATGCTGATTACAAGTCTCAGTTGGAACATGATCATTGGATCCGGGGGATATTCAGCTGACGTTGGAAATATATCAAAATGCTCTTCTCAATTTCTGCTGTTAGGTACAGGTTGAATGTAATTTGAATTTTCTTTCTATAATAAGTCAATATAAACCAAACAAGTGTTAAAAAGCAGGCAGTAATAGGTACTTGCTTTACTGTTCCCCAATGTACACTCCTCATGTTACGATTATCGTGACTGTACCCAGTTTACACTGAGTTTGTAACCGTTGAATGGTTTGGTTGAGGCAACTGATTTTTCAATCTCTAGACAGACTAAGATTTAGTGTCATCTCATGAAATCCATGAGTGTTGGTCTGAAGCGAGTAGGGATGTGTAGGCTACTTGGCAGTGGGGGGGGGGATGGGTTCTTTAAGACGATAGGAATCAGTAGCTGAGGTCTTTTAATAAAATGACTGAAAACCAGTTACACTTGTAAAGCTTCAATATTTTTACTTACCTCTTTTTAAATCTCCTCCCTTCCAGTACACCGCCTACTTTGGTTTTATCACTATTATTTGTCCTTTAAGTTGCTAGTGGGACATAAAGATTCAGTAACACGTCGCCATCTCACTCTCTTCTCTACAGTGTTTTGAACCTGGCTCCATAACTGCCCAAAAACTTTCATTTCTTCGTCACACCGTCTCCTGCATGTCACTCTCTACACATGCCCAACTCGTCGTTCTCCATTCGGGTTCCACTTGACGCCTTTTCCAAACCATCTCAGTTTATATCCAGTTCAACCCATCTCCAATTTTTTTATTATGCATATTTATTGAACGATAGGTTCTTGCTTCGTTGGATCGTTGCTAGCCAGCCAGTCAGAATTCCTTCTTGCTTATTTTTAATATTCTGGCCATCTGGTCTCCATCTTCAGTCTGGAGTGAGCGTAGGTGGCATCTGTTAATGTGATGTACGTCTGCAGTTTGTTGGAAATGCTTCGCGTAACGCGCCAAGTCTCTCGACCATCACATAGAAGCACTGACTGACATGACTGAATTAGTGTTGAAAATGCGGATGTTGTTCACGCTGTATGCTGAGTGCAGTGGTATGCAGTAGATCTCTACACTGATTATGTCAGAATAATGAAGGCCTATCTTGCTGTCTTCCCGACTCTGGCTTTGATATTCTTATCTATACCTGTGCCATCTGTAGTTGGAACGAAGCTGCCTAGGCAGGTGTAGGCGAAAGAGAACTTCCTTTAGGTTTTTCCTGTTCATGGTAATTTGTGCTTGTTGCTGCCGTTGGTTGTGTATCTTCATCACCTCTGTCTTCGCTACGTTTATTTCGAGTACCATCTTCGCTGCCACGCCTCTTGTGTCAACGTTTTGGTCCTCGGTTGTAGATCTTCGAGTTTGTGCGACATCACACATAAATCATCACTGGCGAAATCCAAGTGTTCTTGGATCTTTTCATCGGTCAAACAGCGTATGCCCATCTTATCGCTTTTCACAGTTTGTTGCATGGTCCAGTCCATTTCAGTCGACCACAATCAGGAAGATGATCGGTGATAGTATGTGGCAACCTTGTCCTACTCCTGTCTGCCTTCACTTCAAAGGCATCACTGAGCTTTCCATTGAGAATCACTTGGCATGTAGCATCATATAGCATATAGCTGTTGAATGAGGTACATAAAGGTATGTGGCACTAAAACCGTGGTGTTGAAGCAGCTGCCTGCCAAATTACTTCTCGGTCGACGCTGTGGAAGGCTATTTCAAATCGATGAAGTTGAGGTGAAGAGTTGACTGCTATTCATTCCATGCTTTGTTCTATGGTGATGCGTAGCCTACTTTGATGTTATCGGTCTTTTCTTATCCACTTGTTCTTTGTATACTACTAGGAATTGTGGCAACTGGAACTCATGTACTTGTGTGTGTGATGTTCAACTTTGACTTTATCTTTCTGTTTGACTGTAATTGTTTTATTTGTGTACTTGTGCACGCGACGGTTATAAGTAAGTAGTCTCAATAAAATGTAGTGTTTATATAAAAATGAAATATAATTTTGTAAACTTCAGGATCAAAATTTGATCGCATAGAGTTGAGCGTATTAGATAAATGGATTATAAGTGAAATAGTGTCTGTAAAATCCCAATGAAGTCGAAAAATAACTTTTTGATGTTTTGCGACTTCTTAGAAATCGCTGCTTCAGAGAATAAAACTTATACAAATTATCGATTGGTTAAATAGTAAATGGTGACGAATCAGATCACACTGTCTATATATGATAATAATATGAACACCCAGTTAGTCACATGTGAACACATTTACATCAACTTGAACTCCAGACTGATAAATAGAGAATAATAACAAGTTGTAAACGCTCCATGATCAGCGTGACAATGACATTTATGTTCATATTATTATCATGTATAGACAATGTGGTCTGATTCGTCACCACTTACTATTTAACCAATCGATAATTTGTATAGGTTTTATTCTCTGAAGCAGCGAATTCTACGGAGCTGCGAAACATCAAAAATTTATTTTTCGACTTCATTGGGATTTTACAAATACTTTTTCATTTATAACTAAATATAATGTATATAGAAAATAGTTGATTTAAAAAAGTGATTAGTATTATTATTTATCCCCTGGGTTCCTAGTGGAACATAGGGCTTCAGTAGCACGTCGCCATTTCACTCTCTTCAGTGCAGTCTTTTCAGCCTGGCTTCACGACTGTCCACAAGCTTTCATTTCTTCCTCACACCATCTCCTCCATGTCACTCTCGCCTCGGGCGCCCAACTCGTCGTTTCCCTTTCGATGCCACTCGAGGGCTTAGCACGTGATGTCTCCGAATTGTTTTCTAAATGTATGCCCAATCCATCTCCACTTTCTTCCACTCCATATTTGTTGGGTGATGGGTTTTTTGGCTGGTTCGTTGCCAGATCAGAGTTCCTTGTTGTTTATTTTTAATATTCTGGCCATCTGATCTTCAGTATTGAGCCAGTTTAGGCAGTTGTTGATGAATATCTGTAGTTTGTTGGAAATGCTTTTCTTAACGCACCAAGTCTCTGAACCATATAGAAGCACTGAGTTGACTTTGGTGTTGAAAATTTGGGGCTTGTTCACGTTTTATGCTGAGTACAGTGCAGTGGATCTCCGCACTGATTATTTCAGATTAATGAAGCCCTGTCTTTCTAATCGTCGCTCTGATATCCTCATCTGTGGCGCTTGTAGTTGATGCGGTGCTGCTTAGATAGGTGTAGGTGAAAGAGACTACTTCCTTAAATTTTCTCCCATTAATGGTTATTGGTGCTTGTTGTTGCTGTTGTTGGTTTGAGAAACCATTTTGGTTAATAGACTTGGTGAAAGTGAATATTGTCTGTTAATCTCTGACTGAATTGAATAGTGAACTTGTAAAAGTACCCTAACATCTTTTGTATTTCTTCTGTCTATCCGGGATTTCCACGTTCTCCTATTCTAACTTATATTCTCAATTGTCTAAATGTATTGATATTTACGAAAATATGTCATGATGTTTCATTGCTAGTTAACGTTTTTATCGAAGGTGACGAAGAAGACAACTACTCTATCCGATAAAGTGTTTTTCACAGTTTTTTCTGTTTATTATGTTGATAACGTTTGAAAATTTGACAAAAGACAATTCAATAAAGATCATTTTCAAGAATTGTATTGTCTTAATCATATTTATAATAAAATCGCGTCAAAATAAAGTTATCAGAAACGGTCAATAAGGAAAGGTGATGATGGTTAGAAGGTCAACTCAATAATTTAAGTGTAAAACTTGGGCACTGTGGTAGAATGTAATTCCATATTAGATTTGTTTATTTGATATATAGCGCACAGTGACACTCATAAACTCAGTAGTTAACGCAATCCAATTCACTTACGAGGAGGTAGGAAATGAACAA